GGCGGCTTGGCTGTATTTTGTACACAGTACATACTAAGGTTACCATACACTTGGGAGAAAATTTAATACACACTACTGTATCTACCAAAGTTGTAAACATCTTCATTATTTCTACTCTGAAAATAATAGTTCATTAAATAATCTCATTCTATATACAGTACACGCATGTACAATTTGGCTATGAAGAAAAAAAAGCCCTACGTAAACACACATGGGGGAATATCTTAATGTAGACACCACTAATTTATTTAAATAAAACTACTAATGGACGTGTTAATTGTAGCGCTCGTATAATGTATAAATAGCATTCTGTGTGAGCATATATATATGTGTGTGTGTGTGTGGAGGGGGTATTTGTCTATATAGAGAGTAACATATATACACATACAATACACACACGCAGTATAGGACTACTGTAACTTTAGTCACACGTACAATTTTATATATATATATGTGTACACAGACAAAGACACAAAAATAGATAAATGTAGCTATATAAAATAGTACATCCAATAGCTGCATAGAATCATAGAACTGATGAATTATTCAGTCACGTTTTCTAAATAAGACTTTTCTCTGCCTACTTAAAAATTGTTCCATATTTCAGTATTTCTAACTGTTCTATTTATATGCTACTAGGTATGAAAAGCTTCCTGGGCATTTGAATACTTGTTTCATTCATTCAACAATAATGAATTGTCACCAATATTTTCGTGTTTTAATGAGAATGTTACAATGTCCTCTTTAAACACCATATTAAATTGTTTCTGATTGGTTAATACAACAAGATCGATAACTTATTCTAAAGAAACACGACCGTTGTAACACACACACAAACACATCTATATCCAAAAGTGTTATATCTAGGCGTGTGTCTAAATGTGTATACACGCGTATGACATCATTAGATATACAAATATGTTTCTCAGATTGTTTACTCAATGGTAGCCACCACTGAAATACACGTCGATACGCTTAAGACAGATGCACGTGAATTACTACCAGCAATCTATTAAATAGATATTTTAATTTTTGCAATACTGCCTCTCGGAAATTTTATATTTAACGTGTAGTATAGTTATTGCACCAGTTTAATAGAAGTGGGACTGATCAGACAGCGGCCTGTATTAATCCTCATTATTTTACAGGGACTGTTCTATACGAGTAATACAGATTTACATTTTATGAGGGGGGGGTTGAATGGTTAAGAAGTATTTTTAAATTAATAGGCAATTTTAGAGGCAAAATTTACAAAGTTATGACAATTTGACAATCTGATCAGAAAACCAACAAATAAAAAAGTCCAATGTCATATCCGCCAGTAGTCAGACTACTATTTTGACTTATATTTAAAGCAGAAATTATAAGCAGACAAGGCCAATTCAAAGCGTGTATCTTTATTTCGGATATGTATTTATGTACCTCTTGTGAACGTGGACTTCGGCTTTTAAAAATGCAAATGATCATTTACAAGCGATTAAATCGGCGAGAAAGACGATTCTTTAAAAAAGATGGAAATTACTGATGATGTATGTATATGTGTATGCATATAATACAAACACATACATACCTATTACAACAAAACAGGATAGTGTGTGTGTATACACATGTACACATTCACCTTTGACAAATGTAGGTTATCTTCAAATGTTTCATATTGTCACTATAGAACTTTTCAGTAACTTGTAGCATGCTAAATGCTATATGGGGTAAAGCAGCAGCAATAGTTTGATCTACAGCACACTAGCTAAATCAAAACACATAACTATACACGAAATAACTCATTTTCAGCACAGTCTTCCGTTTCTGCTAAATAGAGTCTAATAATATATTTCGCTACTAACATTCATGTATTTCGAAACTTAATAGCCCATGAAGAAAAGTATGAAAAATACATCCCAGGGTGAAGACATTAAAGGTCCGAACAAAATAATAGAGTACCTTTAAGTTTCAGGGGCTATTGTATGCAACCTCTATCGTTAACATTTCTCTTTTCAAGCATAAGTTTGTAACAGATCGTAGCAAGCTGTCCATTTCTACTCTGAAGTTTTTAGTCATTAGCGAAAGCGACTTAAACATCCGATATAATAATCGCTATCTTTCTCTGCAAAATATCTCCGATACCATGGTATTTCAAAACGCTATTCCTTGCCTCAATAGCCTAGGAGAATGTTGCAAAGATGAAGCGGATCTGAATTCAGCATTAAACATTTTACGTTTAGGAATATTTCCCTGATTTAAACCAGGGATCATTCATTTTTTCACGTCACTGTATTCACAAAAGCATTACAATATACGATATACATTAACAAAATAAAATCTCAATGTTAAAACACAGCTCGGAAAGAAAACAGAAAAGAATAATCGTTTACCATGTGTTCAGCTGCATGTAAGTAATAGGTCTGGATTCTGTGACCACAAGGGATGAAATATGCAAGCTCAAACAAACTTGTAATATTAATCTTTTCGACTGTATATCCCAACCGGAATTGTGTTTCTTCTTTAATTTATGCCTGTAGCGATTTGCATTTCCCCATATGTTTCTAAACCCACCTATATTATTTTAAAACTAATTCTCCATTACACTGATGGAAAAATGTCTAACATTCCCAGGATATAATATTTTAGAGGTGCGAAACAATTTTCCCTTTATGTTTGTCTTATTAAATGCATGTCTTCAAGTTGCTACAGTTTCTGTTTAGGTCCAAGTGGTCTTGAACTTCTTTAAATTTCGCATGCCCCTGCAAGGTGGCGCTCTTTTCATTGAAAGCTGATATTAAGGCTTATAAAAAGAATAACATTTTGGAGAAAGTAAAGTTAAACTATAACATTTCTCACAGTTCCTTTAGAGGTAATGAGTCTTTGAAGAACTAGCCGAAGATTTCTTTCTTTCTTTAGACCAATTCAGAATTATTTTTGTGATAAATCACAAATAGCGATATAAAAATATTAAGGGCACGTGAAAATACCTAAAACATCCATCAGTAATATGGTATGGGTAGTTCATGGATACAAAAAAAGAAATGCAGATACTCTAATATGAGCACATAGTTCGATCTCCTGCCTCCTCCCCTCCACACACCCCCACACACAAACACACACACACACACACACTTCTAGCAGATAATATGCCTATTGACTTACTATACACATAATATTTCTTTAAAGACGCTGTTAAAGTGTCATCCTGGTCTACTGGAAGGTCAGTTTGTGCAATTCACTCTATGACATATCACAAGCACTCGCAGCTTTAGCCAAGCTCATGATTTGTGTTGTCTGTTGATATGTTGTCTGCTTAATGGGGCGATCATGCAAGCTACAACAAGGAACAAAGCCCAACAGTTCCAACAACCGTAGCTAAGTTAGTGGAAGCAGTACAGCTTGCAAATCTATCAAACTAAACTGCAAGAAAGACAATCTGATTTAGAGAAAAGGCGTTCTGCTACAGTCATTAAGCACAAGTAATTTAGATTTTTTATATTGTCTTCTCATTTACAAATTTACTGTATCAACGCCAGCCAATGGAACGAATTTCTTAAGTAAATGAGAAATAAATAAAAGAGATAGAAAGATAATCAAATTACATAAAATAATTCTTACCCCCTAGATTTATTTTTTAGAAAGCTATTAACACTGGAACAAAATTATAGTAATAATAATAACAACAGAGCATAAGAAGTAATTGATTTAAATTAGCATCACGTTTTAAGGAATATCAGTAAAAACGCCTTTATGAACCTAGTGTTGTATTTCTGGGGGGGGGAGGGGTCTTTGGAAAGCCATGAATCTACACCATGAGAATTAGATATGGTCATAAATGGTTGAAATTAAAATAGCAACTAAAATAATCCTCTTTTAAATCTCCTAATATGTGTTATCAGAATTAAATTAATTTAGGGACGTAGTACATCCAGATTCATTTGTAATGTTGTAGTATAGAAAGGAACTTTCTTGTACATTTCATCCACATTAATATGTATGTAGCATATGCAATCTATTTCTGTTATTTTTATGGTTGTTATTCTATGTCTGCAAAGGTCATTTAAATTATACTGCGGCCGAAAATTTGTTTCATAAATTTTGATATAAATACTAATTACACACTATACTAATGCCAGCAGGGATCCTTTCATTTATCACATTTATATCACCGTTGCTGCGTTAGTGATGACATAATGGAAAGCAGTGAAAAAAACTGGTACAGTTTTATTCTACTATATTAAAGCTAGCTGAAGTTGCAGCAGGTAGACTGAGTGAATAAGAATTCCTACCACAATTCATGGGATTTAAGAATCTTTAATAAGGTACGAAATGTTACCAAACAGTTCTGTAAACTAAATTTTACATACCAATTCTTCTAGCCATAAATATTGAATATCTGTAACATGTATAACCGGACCTTTACATGCGGATAAATATGGAAATTAGGATGTATATACATTATGTTATTGTGTTTGCCAAAAGCAACGGACAGATATAGTTTATATCTTTTTTAATATCACTTTACATAAACAAATGTAACAGTTTGACACGTAGATCCAGGCTTTCACTATACGAATTTCTTGACAGGACATTGTAACAACATTTTACTGCACTACTTAGACTGGACTTTGGGACGAAATGTTTGCACTTTATACAAAAAAGCACATTAATACCAATAATATTCTGTTAGATCGACGTTTAGACTGTAATAATACAAAGTAATTCACATTTTGGTACACATTTACTAGAACATTCTTGCCACTCAGTACAAATAGTTGAATTTCTACTTCCTCCCTCTCCCCCCCACCACTCCCACCCTCCATCTCCCCCACCCTCGCCTATTTTCAAAGACCACAGTTCCACATATCCCCTTATTCAACTTGCGATATGACTATTTACAAAATCAAACAGTTACATTTTAAGCTAATAATTCTCTATTTACATTTTAAAAAGCCGCTGCCCAAGGAGACATGCAGTTTGAGACCTCTAATCAGTGGTTCCAGCACAGCCCTACACGTTTGGCATTTGGCCTAGTAACCTTGTCCTCTCATGCATTCTACTAACCCCTTTGCCTACCAAGCCTTGGAACAAAAACAAAACAAAACAGAAAATGATTCTTCATTTTATTCGGTCCTGGGTCTACTGGCAGCTTTTTTTTATTTATGTATGTACTTATTTTGCGTTCGAAGTGTTCATTAATTTTGGAGTCTTTTTTAAATAGGGTTTTTGTTTGTTGGTTGGTTGTTTTGTTTTAAACGTACCATTCGTTAAAATTTGATGTAAGCGTGCTGTGGCTGGACGTGTGATGGACTGCTGAAGAGGAGGGGGATAAGGAGCTTGTGGTCTGGTTTTCTGTAGATGGAGACACGATTGTTGGGGGCGTTGAGGATTCATAGCCTGAGCTGGCGGCGGGAGAAGGCTGGGACCCCTGGGAGGATGACTCATGGACCTGCAAAATAAATACGTACATAAATAGATAGATAACAAAAGGGATGGCTTTATTTTTTTTAAGTGTAGCTATTAGTTCGATAATATCGAGCTCTAAAACCCACTCCCCCTTTGCCTCCTCTCCCCACACAGTGAACCTCTGAACTGAATTCACAAGTTAGCCTTTGAAACACTACAGATCGTAATTTTAAGGCAAAATCTGGAGGGGAACATGGCACTGATAATAATGCAGCTGCTGGTGTCACAGAAACACGCAGGACGGTCTGCGTAAGCAGTCAATTTTCAAATGTCTTGCCATGCACCCTAGTAGCATGGAAGGCAAACATGGTCCTAAGGCACAAAAGGAAACGGATCTGCTAGATCTGGCCTTAAAAGAAACCAAGATTTCGCCTGCTTGTGTCCCTTCCCTGTGCCCATCACTGGGTCTTTCATGGAAAGTCTGCACGAAAGCAGAGCACCCAGAAAAGCCCTACACGCGCTACTCCATTGTAAGACTCATATAACGTAAATAACAGATCACGTACAGTCGGCACTGAAGCGCTATCTGCCCTTGAGCAAAATAAATAGTGGTTGTTTAAACCTTTCAGTAGTAAAAACATTACTGGCCAGGTTGCCCTTGTCTTTTCCAATTTCCTGCCCACGGATCACTTTAAAATACGCTTCTTTGTAACGACACAGCCATACAGATTGCCAATGCGTTTCACTTTTTAAGTCTCCCATCCTATCTGTTTAAGTAAAAGACTTGTAAATCGGCAATAAAACGTCAGCAGAACGGATAGGTACGAGCACAGAAAATAATGCAACATCAATTTACCTTCATGTGTTTTCTGAGGGAACTTGGGTGAGTGTAGGACTTATCGCACATTTTGCAGAGATAGGGTTTGTCAGAAGTGTGCACATGCATATGCTTTTTGCGGTCGCTGCTATTTGCAAAGCGCCTGTCACAGCCCTCGAATTCACACTTAAAGGGTTTTTCACCTATTACAGGAAAAAAATGGTGTGATTAGAGCCCCTGCATTTCTGTGGTTAATCAGCATTATTTTTATTATTACTAAATTACTGGACCGATTGGTCGTGGTAAATGTATTCCCTTGTAACTTCACAACTTACAAATGTTTAATCTCAAAGCCCTGATTCTTTCCAGTTTTACAAAAGAGTTACAGCATCGTACACGGCATATTTGGAAGAGTTTGCAGTTTGCCTTGCAAAATATTGAAATTCTTTCTAGGAGAGTTTCATTTTCGCTTCTCAGCTCCTGGCATATCTTGCTCGTTACAATGCTGGCAATACACCAGGCGTCATAGCACTTACATGAAAGCTTTCGTGGCTAGTTTCTGTTGTAAAGGCTCATTCTCGGGATATTTTCGCTACCCACCTCACACCCAGTACCCCTATATTGTCGTGCTTGTTATCTTTATATTGGATTAAATGCTACCAACATAGTCTTGAATAATCTAATAAATAATGCTTCATGTTATTTGAAAAACTGTATACCAGTAAAAGCAGGAATATATATATATAAAATGTTCTTAATTATCTCAGCTGATTTTAATACTATAATAATAAATTAAAATCTTAGGTTCAGATTACTTAAAATTACTCCATGTAATTAAATATTTACAAATACCTGAATTGCAAAGGGGAGATGAATAGGCTAACTGTATGTTTAGCACAAATTCCAATTGTAATACAGTCAAACCTGCCGACTACCAATTAATTAAAACCTATAAATTTAACAAGTCAGGATGCTGCTATTTTTCTTTCACTACTGTATTTCTGCAGCAAATTCTCTCTCTCTTTTTAATAAAGGCTGGGGGGGGGGAATAATTCTGTTAATGAGCTGATTTTGAAATTAACCCCTCAAACTGCCTCTTTTGAAAAGTAATCTGGTATATTTTACGTGATTTTTTTTTGGCAGAAAACAAGTTACCATGCCCAATATTTCCCCTTACCCTCTCCGACCCATTCCATTTATTTTTCTGACTTTTAGCCAACACTCGGTTGGAAAAGCTTGACTCCTTTATTTTCAGAAAGAAATCTAGAGAGAAGGTTACTGTACCTGTGTGAGTTCTTTTGTGTATTTTGAGGTTTTCTGATCTGGCAAACACTTTCCCACAGCCAGGAAAAGGGCAGGGGAAGGGTTTTTCACCTGTGTGGACTCTGATGTGATTTACAAGTTTATATTTGGCCTTGAAAGGTTTCCCCTCTCTTGGACACTCTTCCCAGAAACATATGTGATTGGACTGCTCGGGTCCTCCAACGTGCTCCACGGTGACATGAGTCACCAGCTCGTGCATTGTGCTGAAAGTTTTGTTGCAGGACTTTTTGGGGTTTGACAATTGCTCGGGCTCAATCCACTTACAGATGAGTTCCTGCTTGATGGGCTGTCTCATGTAGCGAAAGAAGGCCCCTGCTCCATGGTGGGCTGCCATGTTCATGTTCATATGGCCGTAGCCGTGGAGCTGAGTGGAGGCATAGTGCTCGGAGCGGGGGCTAGTGACCTGGCCGTACTGATCTGGTCTCCCGTACATGTCTCCGGAAAAGCCCAGACGCATCTGCCCGTTCACCACGTTGGGAGAAGCGTGGCTGGCTGCTTGCTCGTGAAGCCCCGGGAAAAGTATGTGTCCTGCGGCATCAGTGTGTCCGTGGGGGCCGGCGAAGCTGCCCGCGGCCGAGGCGAACAGGCTGTGCTGGGCGCTGGCTGCCGCCGCCTCGCCAAAGCCCCGGTTGCGGAAGAGAAAGTCCCGGGTGGAGTTGAAGGCTGCGCTGGAGTAGGAGCTGACATGGGTCGGGTGGTGGTGGTGCCCCAGAGCCGCCGCCGCGTAGCCGGGGGCCTGCGAGGTGAAGGCGGTCTGGCCGGCCGAGGCCAGCTCGTGCGTGCTGGGGTTAATTTTAAAGGCGCCCATGCCGTCGGCGAAGGGGTTGATCCCCAGCCCCACTTCTCTGTCCGTGACATCGCCCGTGGAGTGATGGCGAGAGGATCCGAAGGTAGTGACTCCTATCGCGGGATACTGCGGTCCAGCATCCAGAAGCATCTTCCCACTCTCCGTGCAGCAACCCGGGGGAGGGGGGGGAAACAAACAAGCAAACACGGAGGAGAAGCAGCAGAAGCAGCAGCAGCAAAACCACCCTCCTCTCTGGAAAGTCAGCGACAATCACCACCAAAGCAACCACGTCAAAAACGCCCCCGTCGGCATCGGCGCCCCGAAAAGGAAACAAAAAGTGGGGAGACTTCTGAGCTGCAGAGAATCAAGAAAACTAGGCTAACACAGGCAGGCACAAGACACCCCACTGTCTCTCTGATGAGACTTTTCGGGGAGGTTTGAAGTGGGGAGGGAGGCCAGGGGGTAAAAAAAGAAAAAAGAAAAAAAGAAACTGGCTGCAAGTATCAGGAATGGAGAGAGATCAACACACAAGGCAAAAAACAGAACAAAAAACACAAAAACACAAAAAAATCAGCTCCCTTCAGTTATTTTTTAGGTATAGGAATGTTGCAAAGTGGCCGAGAGATTTCTCTCTTCTCTTCGAGCTGCCCACACTCTGTCCTTCTCCCTCTCCCTTTCTCTCTCTCTCGCTCTTTTTTTTTTTTTTGCCCTTTTTTTTTCGCTTTGCAAAAAAAAGGCGCAAATCATGCACAATATTGTCTTTTGCGGTTTATCTTCCTGGGGAGAAACTTTCACCTCCTCAGCCGGGCGGTGAACGCGAGACTGATAGCGGCAATCATTCCTGCAGATAAATGAATTGAAAAGACGACACCGTCCCCCCCCCCCCCCCTTGATGAATGGGAGAAGGGGAGGAGCAACGTCAAGGCGGACGTGGGAAATCATTGGTGCCTGGCAACTCCCCCCTTCCCTTGCAACTCCCCCCTTCTTCTCCAACTAAGGGCGCGCAAAGCTTCTGCTCTCTCCTGATTGGCTCGCCCAGCTCATCAATCCCAGGTATTGTGAAGCGCTTTGACATCCCTTTTGACAAACAGGGTTTCCAGGAGTAGCAACTTTTTGCTTTTTTTTGTTTTGTTTTGTTTTGTTTTGTTTTTTTTATCGAGCCCAAGATTTTTTTCACGCAAATATTTCAAAGGTATCTTTTTTGTGTGGGTGCTAAAATAATCCCAGCCTTGATTCTTGGTCTTCTTGTTGTTGCCTTTGCTTTCTCTTCTCCATAATAATACTAATGATGATCACAATGATTTCCTGATTTTTTTTAACAACACTGAACAACTTTTTAGGGTTTGAAAAGGGAAGCCCTTTTGTGCCTTGCTTCTTTTGAAATTGTGTTTTCTCCTTTTTTGTAATTGAAGCTCTCCAGAGTAGGTGCTGATTGCATGCGATTTTATTTTTAAACGACAGGCGTGGTTTCTCTGAGTAACTGAGTGTATCAGTCCATCCGTTTTCTGAAATAACTCTTGCTATCTGCACCCATCAAAACGCAGGTGGGTGAGAATTCTTAACTTTCTACTTTTTTATTGTTGTTCCCCCCTTATTTGTTTTTCTCTCCCTTTTTTCGCGGGATCTCTTTCATTCAGGTAAAACTGTAAATTTCCCAAAGCTACATTGTTTTTCCAGTGCTGCGTGAAGCTCCCGGAGACTTTTTTGAAATTTATTTAAAATCCTCGATAGATAGGAGCAATGTAAATTTTCTGACATTCAAACCTTTTCTAGTTCACAAATCAGTCACCCTTGTCACAGTTATTGAAATTCCTCAACTTGCCACACCAGGACGGTGGAAAAAGCAGGCGGTGTCTTTGTTGCTGACCAGGCTTTTGATCGCCAGAGAAAATTTACTTACCTTCAGATGAGTGAGCAGAAAAAGAAATAACACTCCCTTTGATTTAGTTAGGAAAATGCAGACATTTGGATTCAGTGCAAACATACAACACTTGGTTGTTTTCTAGATGCAACCCTCGATTAACCTGTCTTTCCCCAGCTCAAAGTCTATTGAAAAACTGCGGATAGTTCCTTTTTGTTCTTGCTACAAAGAGCCATTGACTATATATTAAAATGATTGTTGAAAGGTATAAGTATAGTACTTAAAAGCAGAAAATCTTTGTGACTCAATCAATTAAACTGCGCAACATTTGTGCATTATTTTCAACGATGCTCGGAAATAAAAAAAATATCACATTAAATTTTACAGAAATATATATGTATATTTACAGAATAACAATATATGATTATTCATTTACTCAGTCGCCTGCATATTCATTAGATCTAATTATTTATAGTAACGAAAACACAAAAATCTAGCTAAGAGTCGGAATCTTTCAATTTACCCTCTGTTCAGTACTTTATTTGATTTCTGATAAATCTGAACCGCGGAAACTCTTATTCCTGAACAAAGAAACTTCTAACTCTTCGTCTGAAATTATAAAGGCGTTAGGAAGCAATCACCACCCCACATATTGGGGAAACAGAAAAAAAATAAATATCACGTGCATATTTCTTATTGTCATTACTAGGGCTGCAATAACAACTGACGATGTTATTTTAAAAAACAATTTTGCAATGCAGTGTTAAACACATCGCTGCACATTACATATATGTGTAGTTTGTATGGATTCAGTCAATGAAGATTATTTTCAGTGCACTTTTATCAGGTAATTACGTTTGGATCTACCACGTCTGAATAATTCATTTTATTAACTGGAGCTGCGTTTTTGCCCTTATTTTGTGAAATAGATGTGACGAAATTACATCGAACGATGTCGTATAGCAACAGGTCTAAGCCAGCTGTGTGGGTGCGTTCTGATATCTTTATATGTATGTTATATTACAAGGTATGTTTTCTACTAAAATACCAGGATAGACTACAAGGTTCTCAGCTGTGCTTAGCCCATAATAATGTGACATCTACAAGGCAAGTGACACTAGCAGAGCAATCAGCTAGATTGTCCATTCTTAGACTACCTCCAAAATGTAAAAGAAACCAAATAATCTCAAATCCGTATAAAATATAACGGGAAGGCTGACAAGAGGATATTTTAGTAACCGTATCTAAATATACAGACGAAGAGTGAATGTTAAAAAAAAGTTGTGGGTTGTAGAAGTTATCAAGTGGGATTTGCGGCGCGCTCTCTGCAGGAAACGAGAGCTGCTCCAGTTCAAAGCCACATGCACCAACGTGACATATAAGCCATTAAAATATCCTCCTGACGGCTCATTTCTGTTTCATCATACATTCCCTAACTGCTTCCAGAAAGCAAGAAAAGAAGAAATGAAGGATGACCGCCTCGCTGGAACCGCCAAAGAGGTGCTGTTTTGTTGTCTCTCTTTCCCACCCCTACCCCCACCCCTTTTTGTCAGCCCAGAAATAATGTGCAGAAATGAGGGAATCTCTTCAACAGGTGGAGTGGGGGTAAGTGAATTCGGGGAGAGGCACGGATGGGCAAGGAAAGTTCTTGCCACCCCCAAGGGAAGGGGCTAGACACCCACTCACCCACAGGGGCTTGGCAACCTCTCCCTCGCAGGGGAAATGGCTTGGCACCCGCTCAGAAAAGGGACTGGAGCTCATTCACCCACTGAGGAAGTGGCTTGGCATCTACTCACCCACGTGGGAAAGGCTTGGCAAGGGGAAAGAACCTGGTACCTTACAGAGACTGGGAACGGGGCTTGGTACCCACTGACCGCGGGGCTAAGGGCAGGAGGCTTCTTCCCCCTCACACAGATCTGGATGGGGAGGGGGCTTCTCTGCACAGCACAAAGGGGCTTCTTCTCCCCATAGGCTGGGATCCAGAGGCACCGGGGAAAGGGGCTTTTTCCTCACCCCTGTGAGAGGACCAAGGGGCCTCAGCTCGGACGGAGAGAAGGGGATTCTCTGACCCCCATTTCCGAGACGGGGAAGGGAGCTTCTGCGCAGCCGGCAGGACAGGAGAAAGTAGCTCACCTCCCCCCCCCCCCCATGGGGATAGCGAAGGGGTTTCTCCCCCCTCACTGCGACGGGAGGGGAAGCAGATTCTCTGCACCCACTGCTGATCTCCTGAGGCGCAGGAGACCGAGCCGGGCGAGCCTGGGGGACGGCGCTAGAGAGGTCGGCCCCGGGAGAAGGCTGCTTGCTTAGCGCCAGACAGGAGAACGCTCGCTGCTTGGAAGGGCTGGGACTGCACGTTTCCAGGCAGATGCGCTCGGGGCTGCCCGACTGCAAGCCCTGGCCGGAGGGCAGCGGGGGGATTTGCTCCTTTCCCACAGAGCAGCTCGGCTTCACCCCGGGCTGCCGTCAAAAGGAAGCTATTTGCAGGAGGGGGGCACGGCGCTAGGGAGTCAGCTTCTCCTCCCGGGTTTGTCCGTGGAGCACGCATTGCCATGGCGCTTGCTGTACTCTCGCTGTCTTCCCTGTCCGCGCAGGGAAAGGGTTAACTGTCTCCTGGAAAAGGTCTAGTGGCCAAGCTCCTAGACTTCCGAGCTTTGACAATAGCAACCCTTAATTGAGAGCCCTTCTTGGGAAAGGCTCCCGTCCCGGTTCCTCGCTGCCTGACCTGTGTGTTTTGCCGGCACTGCCAAAGTGCAACCTTCTAGTCACATTTCCCTTCCCGATCAAATCGAATCAAAAGAAACGCCCGCCGATTCCCGGTGTTACCCACACGCGCGCCAGCCGAGCGGTTTGGTAACTGATTGATGAGAAACGTTTGGGGTTTCGGGAATTCAAGGAAACTGGCAAGTTTGCAGAGAGGTGGTTCCTGCAAACAGACTCTCCTCAGATTCAGCTGTAAAACAAGTCCCCCTTGAGGTCTGACAAAGCCTCCAAACCGCGATAGACGTTAGGCGTTAATTTTCTTGCCTAGTGTTGGAAATGTAGTTAATCAGTTTGCTTAAGTGGGGAAGGCTAAAGCTCTTGAAGTCGCCGACTTTGGAAATACCCTAGAGTTTGACCTCTGACCTGCTACCGACAACATGTGCCAGACCCAGAGCATCTAGCACAATGCGTGGTTTCAGTGTCTAACCTGGGGCAGGACAAATAGACAAATGTTTGCTGTTTCTCCTCTCTCCTCGCATTTTAATGATTAATCATATCTGATTGCCCGTCCCCCTGCTTCAATTTAATCTTTTATTTTTAATTATCTACCCTGACTGTTCTACTCACCCTTGTTCCCCAGAATAGATTGAATCCCCGTGAAATATGCTCACGGCGAAACCCCGTAGAAGAATCTCTCCTTCTTGGGAGATTCTATTTGGACAGTTTGGGCTACTTGCTATCCTGAATCATGCATATTAACTTATTTTTAAAAAGCTAGATCCATTGACATTTTGAAGGCAACCATTAAATCTTCATCCCATTTCCTTGAACAGGTGGGGTAAGTAAAGGTTTCCCTGGATGGTAAATGGCGATGGAAAGACATGTCGTTGTATCTGATATTAATCGCAGTGTCTGTATTAAGATTATAATAATAATGACGCATAAAAGGAAAATTCAGTTCTGCCCAGTATTCCAGAGACATGCTTGCTGTGAGCAGTTGAGCCCCGTATTAGTTTTGATAAAACTACTGTTGTAGTAGCCCGTGGAATCAGTCATGTTTCAAACAATATTTGCTTACAGACTAACTAGTTTTAGTGTGGAAGTGTTCGGTCAGCACCTTTGACCTGTATCAGAAGTCAGAGTTTGTAGAGGTCAGATATACACACACACACACACACACACACACACACACACACACACACACACACACACACACACACACTGTACTATATTAACAGTCTCACGAAAGATTAAACATATTGTTAAAGTTTCACATAGGGTGAACATCTCATATAGAACAAGCTTGATTAACAGTTAATCTTAACTTACGTCCTGTTGATGACTGTTAACTAGGAAGAATACATTTGAATCAAGAGTTATACAGAGTTTAATATTATTCATCATAAATAATAGGACAATCTTGTTCTCTTTACTCAGCCAGAGGGACTACTCAAGTGAGAAAAGTGTGAAATATTAGAGCTAGTGTTTTAACTACCATTTATTTTTACAAAAGAATGTTTACTTCCACTTTTTTTTCATATGGAGACCATTCAAATACAACATTTGCAATTTTT